CTTCTTCAGGGATGACGGCCATCCCCTGTGCCTGCCTGGGCATCTTCCTGGGTGGCCTCCTGGTGAAGAAGCTGAGCCTGTCTGCTCTGGGGGCCATCCGGATGGCCATGCTGGTCAACCTAGTGTCCACGGCCTGCTACGTCTCCTTCCTCTTCCTGGGCTGTGACACAGGCCCTGTGGCTGGGGTCACTGTTCCCTATGGAAACAAGTAAGTACCTGAACTCTTAGCTTGACCCTGCCCAGGGGCACCAGGGACACTAGGGACACCAGGGATACCTTCACTGTTACTGTGGTTTACAAAACTAACTTAGCCCTGCCCAGGGACAGCAGGACTCTCTGACTCAGGCTAATAGAGCTCGCTTGGTTGCTAGTGATGCTGAGCGGAAAAGCCCAGGAGACCTTAATTTCTTCTTGGAGTCGGAAGACTCAGCCCGTCCTCTCAGAACTGACCTTTGCTCCACCGCGGCAAGGCAGCCCCAAGAGCAGGGCAGTCACTCATTCTCCAGACCTCTCGCTCTTTCTGACATTTGACGTCAGGAATGATGCAAAGATAGAAAATAACAATAAACGTTCTTTCAAAATTCAGTTTAAAAGAAAAGACAGAATCAATTTCAATAATTCCTACGGGAGTCAGAAGCTGCCATCTGACTCACGTAGTCATTACTAAGTCTGGCCCTTGGTGAGCGTGTTTAAGTGGTGGGGGAAGAAAGGGACAGAGAAAAGCAAGGAGTGAAGGCAAGGGGGGTCAGGGATCAGCCGGTTGCCGTGGTGTCTCTTTCCTTATGCCCTGGCTATTATCCCAGGACTGTGGACCTGATTCCTCATAGTGATTGCTCTTCAAATAGATTATGGGGTTACATTATCTCTATGCCCAGTGTCTCCTTTCCTTATGGGACTCTGAGACCACCCTGAGCTGTGGGGTCTAGCCCAGACTTACTGCACTGTGGCTGCCCTGCAGATTATATATAATCAGGCTGTGGGGTCTAGCCCAGACAAGCTGGACCATGGCAACCTTGCAGGTTACAGTCAGACTGTGGGGTCTAGCCCAGAGAAGCTCCACCATGGCTACCCTGCAGGTTACAGTCAGGCTGTGGAGTCTAACCCAGAGAAGCTGCACCATGGCTACCCTGCAGGTTACAGTCAGGCTGCGGGGTCTAGACCAGACATGCTTCACTATGACTACCCTGCAGGTTACAGTCAGGCTTCAGGGTCTAGCCCAGACAAGTTGCACCGTGGCTACCCTGCAGATTACACATTCAGCCTCCTCCTCCAGGCAGGCCGCTGAGCTGCGATAAAGACCCTGGAGACTGGGAAGAGCTGGGTCTCATCTGCCACCCTTTGGGAGTAAAGTAGGAAGAGCAGGAAGAGGCAGCTTCTCCCAGACCCTGGTGCACTTCAGGCACCCCCACACACACACCCCAGTTCCTCTCACACACAGAGTCCCCTCCGGCTGGCAGTTCGCTCTGAACAGCAGCCCTCACTGTGGACGGCCCACGGTACAAGCGGGAAACTGCAATGATTAGAACTGCACGCACCGGGTCATGGTATAAGGACATGGTGCCAAATAAACGGAAAACAAATTAAAAGCTCAAGGCCTGTGTTCATACTACCCAGTTGTAGCACATTCTCCACATTCAGACACTATATACATCCGGACAAACGATTCAGCTGGTCCAGCCTCGATTTCCCTTTTTGGTCTCTCCAGTTTACGTGCTCTTGGTATCTGGTCATTGTAATGCACAGGCGAGTATAAAACACCCTAGCACTCATTGTATTTCTTGGTATAGTGAACCTGTAGGAAGGTGGCTGCTGGAGCCCGGCTGGGCGTCCTATACGCAGGAGAGGGAGAAACAGGAGGGCGTGGGGGCCTCCAGCAGTGAAGAAGGAGGTGTAGGGGTAGGGCGGCCATCTAGAATAGTGTCCTGGAGTGGACAACCCTAAGCTAAGCCCCAGCCGCCATCAGCCTATAGGGCACAAGGTTACAAATTATAAAGAAAAAAATTTTCCTCCTCACTTTGATGGAAGACCTAAAGGGATCCAGCAGCGTGGGCTCTTGGAAGTGGCCCTGGACAGGCACTTGCAGGTCAGCCAGGGCTAAGACAGGAAGAATGAAAGGGCAGGCAGGCCAGGGCAGCATGCTGAGCAAGGGTACTACAAAGCCCATCACAGCAGAATGCCACCAACAATGCTAGTCCACCCCAGCTTCTAACGAGTCCCCCTTAACTCTTCCTTTCCAGCTCAGCACGTGGCTCGGCCCTCGACCCCTACTCTCCGTGCAACAAGAACTGTGAATGCCAGACCGATTCCTTCACCCCAGTGTGTGGGGCCGACGGCATCACCTACCTGTCAGCCTGCTTTGCTGGCTGCAATAGCACGGTAATTGAAACCTCGGGCTCCGGGGAGAGAGAGGGTAGGATCCAGGCAGCCCCAGCTGCCCACAGTCCAGAGTCTTTGGCTGTTTCTTTGCCCCGGTCTAACAAAGAATCCTCCATCGGGAAAATAACAGGACAAGGCAGTTCCCTGGGACTTTGCTAAGTCAAATGGGCTTCCAAAACACTTCCCAGAGCAACCAAAAGTAAAACTCAAAGGGAACTATGTATATGAAGCTGGAAAGAGGGACACGAGGTACTCGCAAAAGGTGGCAGGGGATAGAGCTGTGTGCAGTGGTGAGCTGCCCACCACAGACTTAATTCGAAATGGGGAAGATGGGGAAACCCTGACTGACTTGAGCTCAGCCTCTTTCCTTTGCCTCTTTCTTCCGGGCCCCTCTCTTCCCACCATGCTTTTCCTTTTCTTCCTCACTAACACACAGTTCTCATTTGGCCGCCAGCCCGCCATCATCCACATTCTCTGTGTGAATGCCTGGTGCCAAGTGACCTGCCAGGCCGTCCTGTTGCTCCCGCCTCCCAGGTGCCCCTTCCACCTGTCCGCCGTGTGCTCCATACTGCCTTGCTCCAGTGCGGGCTGTCTGGGCTGTCTGTCTTCTCGTCTGGACCTGGGTCGTGGTCACCTCGCTAGCCTTCCAGGGCTGCCCCCCCTCCCATGTCCTCACACTACCGCCAGGATTCCTGAAACACTTCAGATGCCCCTTCCCCAGGCTGCCCTCTGGGGGGCTGAGCCTGGTTCACATGCATCCTCAGCTCACATCTCCCGCTGTTTCTCTGCTCTCTGGATCAGTGGTTCTCAGTCTGGGGGGAGTCAAAAGGCCCTTTCACAGGGGTCACCTAGGACCACTGGAAAACATAGATGTTTGCAATTCATAACAGTATCCAAATTACAGTTATGAAGCGGCAACCAAAATCATTTTATGGTTGGGGTCGCCACAGCATGAGGAACTGTATTAAAGAGTCACAGCATTGGGAAGGTTGAGAGCCACTGCTCTAGATGGCGGTTCAGCCTTCTCTCGCTCCTGTTGGACAACTCCTATTCATCCCTCAATACCCTATCCCAATGCCTGCTACTCTGAAATGATCCCCTATTTCTCCCTTTGGAGCTCTTGCCTTCGAGTCTCCAGACGCCCGTTCCTTCCTGAGTGTGTTTGTTTCTTTTGCTGTTGCAAGCTGCAAGAAGCGTCTGTCTGACTTTGATCTCTGGCTTTCTTGAACTAGGAACACTGTAGCTCCAGAAGTACTTGATAATTTCTCAGACAATGTGCAGATGGGAAGGGAGAGACACTTGCCAGGAGGGGCTGCTTTCAGGGAACTAATTCGAATCATCTCTTTCCTCCCTATCTTGCCTCCTGCATCTTAAAGAGCAGCAGTTCCCTGAAAGGGGGGAGAAAAGAATCATTTGTTTTCATTTTCAAAGATTTCATTTTTTTTTTGCATGCTTTTAAGATTCAGATTCCTGGCCAGTCATTAACATATTTCCTATAAAGAAAATAAATCACTGCGGATTGGGGGCGGGGAGGACCCAGTTTTATAAACTAGATGATAAAGCAATTTCTGTATGTGAGTGGAAGGCAATATTAAAAGGGGGTTGGGACCTGGAGAGTGGTTCAAATAAAAGCACAAGTTATTATTTCTCCTAAGAGCAACTTCGTTGACATTTTAATATCCAGAATCTGTTAGCGGCTTCAGCCATTGTCCTGTGATGAACCCTTGCGTAACTCTGAGTAGCCTTGTCCTGAGACCCAGCAGGCCTTTATTCTGGGAGGGGGGGCACACTGACCCAACCGTGAAGAGGTTTGTTGAGTAGTGGCCTGTTCAAGCCACGTGTTCACTTGTGGCCCCTGAAGCTGAATGGCTGGGAGAGGTCATTCCAGGACAGCAGGCTCAGGCTAAGCTCAGGGCGTGGCACTCATTCCCCAGACACCTGCTCTCCACTCCGTGACTCCGAGCCTCACCTTGCCTGCTGGAGTGGCCATGGGGTTCCGCTTCTTGCCCACTGAAGCAGGTCTCTGGGTGGCCCTGGCTCCAGAGACAGAGTCTGGTCACCCTGAATGGGGTCTTTGTAGTAACTGAACCTTAAAAACAAGCCACTGGTGAGCTTGCAGGAACTGCAGGCTGAGAGCCTGGCTCAGGCCAGGTGCTGGGTTTTCCCTGCTTCACTCGTGTCTTGTGACAAGGTGGCCTCCAGTCAAGAGGATTCTCGGGACGACATCCAAAAATGAGCAAAAAAAAATCTCTGAGTCAGTATTCTGAAGAAACGCCAAACGAGGGCTTATGTTCCTGGTGGTCCCCCCTTCTCTCCTCCTTCTCTCCTTTGAGCTTCCTGTCCTTCTATTCTCCCGGCACTCAGGACGACTCATCCCCACGTAAAGGGCCCCTCTTGCCTTTCCAATCTTCCATGGTTTCTTTCCCTGTCTCTAGAGACAGGCTGTCTCAGTATGGGCTCAGTCCTTCTCTGCAAGTTCCCTGGGCTCTCCTGGCCTGTCTGTATCTCTGCCTGTATGAAGTACTAGGTATGGCTATTTCATCCAAACGTGTGTTAGCTCACCAGGATCATACAGTAGAATGTGGTGGGGATTCTGGGACCCTCCATGGCAAACCCAGAATCTTTCTCTGTATTCAGCCACCCATTCTCAGGACGCTGACCTTTTTCCTACACGAAACGGTATCTCTGTGCTCACCATTCACACTCAATATATTTAGCCTTCACGTCTGCCCTGGCTGCCTCTCCAGCCTCATCCTCCCTTCTCTTCCTGTCTCCTAAGCAACCACTTGTTAAATGATGCTCTACTGACAGACAAGCTCTTCTCTGCCCCTGGACCTCTGCCCATGTCATTCATGCTATACAGACTAGTCCCCTCTGTGTGCGTTGGTCCCGTCTTGCCTACCCACCAGGGCTCAGGCTCTCTTTGTTCTTTCCCTGCACCTACAACACTGTCTCCTACCTCAACACTACTTCCAGACAATGTGTGTGTCCAACCACACCTCTTCTCACCCGGCAAGAATTAAAGGTCAACGGTGCCAATGGCTCATTGACTTCAGCCTCACAGTCTCTCACCAGACTTCAGGGATGGGGCTGTGTTGTAGACCTTTGACCCCCCTCCCCACACACACAGGGTCAGAACTCCGGACAAAGACTCAGATTTCCCAAGTGTCCCTTGGTGTTCCCATGCAACCTCAAACAGGTGACTCCAGTGGGTATAGCACTCTTGGGCAGCAGCTGGCAAGCAGGTAGACAGGATGGTCCTAATTTCAAGGCACACCTTTGTCCTTACAATACTTATATTACCAGGAACCATGGAAAGTCTACCTCAGGCCTGCATTAGATGCAAACAAGTCAACCAGTCAGATCACTGAGATGCTAATGAAACCCAGTCAGAATCAACTGTTCCTATCTTTATGGTCTTGGTTGGGTTGTTTGTTTGTTTGTTTGTTTGTTTTTGATTTTCTTCTTTATCTCTCAAGCCATAGCGGTGGAAGTTTCCAGCCTGCATTTGCTGTTCTGTTTCTGAACCTTGTCATTGCCTGTGGTGAGGAGGGATGGCAGAAAGACAGAGTTAATTTTATCAGCCTCCTTCAGTGTGACTGTATTGCAGATTGTTTGCAGACCTTTCACTTTTAGAAGTAATTATTCAGCAGAAAGCATGTTTGTACGCCTGAAGTTTTGCCCATCTGACGGCCTGCATAATTGACTGGAGGGGGAAAACAGCTTATATTAGCCACAATAGGTTAAAAGTCAATACAAGCCAAACACCGCAGTTTGTAGGGTATATGACAGATGGCTGATCTACCCCACCCATCCAGGTCACAAAATATCTACTGAGTGAATAGGTCCTGAGGCAAAGAGAAGGATTCCATCAAGGAGCATGCTGGGATCTTGTGATTCCACCTTGCAGTCCTCAATCCAGCCACATCTTAGAATCTCTGGGAATTTTTACAACACAGGATCTGAGCTCAGAGAGTCTTCCTTCCTTGTTTTTGACATGTGATTTTTTTTTTAAGCCTCTCAAGTGTTCTTAATTTGCGATCAGGATTGGAAGCCACTGTGGTAATAGACAGTTGCTCCACCTTGGCCTTGCTGATACTTTGAGGCGGACGATTCTTTCTCCCTAGTAGCTGCCCTGTATACCACATCAAGGATGCCTAGCCACATTCTTCATTCACTTCATCCAGCAGCCTTCAAGTTTATCTGGCCACCATAGAAGTCGTGAGACATGGCCACGTGTCCCTGGGGACACTGCAACCCTAGCAGAGGTGAGGCATGTGCTGGGATCTCCAGCCTCTCAGCTGTTGCGCGCTCTTCCTCGCGTGCCAGATGGAGTGTTGGAAATGCCCTGTCAGCGTGTGCAGCCCATGCAGCTGGTGCATGCTAATTAGGTTCGCACACCCTAAGGACCCATTTCTGGTGGGCTAGGCAAGATTAAGCTAAGCGTTTAGCTTGGAGGCTTTGTATGTGGATCTAGATTTGGGCCTCTGTTGGAAGGCTGGAAGGTAGCCAACGGGTGTTCTGCAGCCATGAAAGGCAGTGTGTAGTTAGCTGCAGCTAAGACCTGGTTTGTCCTTCCCTGTTCTCTATGTAGCCATCATCCTCACCAACAACCACCCTCTTTCCTCGGCTACGTTTTCTCCTGCGTATATTTTCTTATCTGACCCAAAGACTTGAGTTTGTGAAAAATCTCTCCCGTAGCATGGTCCAGCTCCCCAATACTGATTTAACAATCTGTGCTCGTCCCGGTAATGATACGTGATAAGGACCTTGGAGACACTCAAATAAAGCCCTGTGACACCTGTGACACCTGCCACATCTCAGGCCCTGCGCATCACAGATGCAGAGACGAATCGGGTTCAGGGCCTGCGCTTCCTGTAAAATGCACTATGGTGTTTTCTAGAAGCTTGTACAAGAAAGTAATGAAGAGCAATGCTCAGTTCAGCTTTACAGTTGAGTTCAGTGAAAAGAATACATCAGAAAACAATAGACCACGAAAG